TTCTTCACTGTACAGCAAGGCTCGAGGAGAAATGAAAAATTGTGATTGTCCAAGAAGTTTCAGAAATTTGCATCCCACATATTACAAAAATGAATCGCTAGACTCATAAATATTTGTTTATTTGCATTTAAATTAGATTTTCATCTAAGAGAATAGTAATATATAGTTAGCTTTTTCAAGGATCTTCAAAGGAAATTAAGAATCATTGGACTTGTGAAGGATTACGAATATGAATATATTTATGTTGCACTTTCTTGACTTTCAGCAACTTGATCGTGATTCTAAGACACTTTCTTCCCCTGTCAAATTACAAGGAACATAACCTGCCACATCTCACAATTTCCTGTTGTACCCTCTGACTTGCACAAACATCTCAAGGGGGGGTTAGACCAACCTGCAGTGATGCCATCCCTCCCTGTGCCTTGTCTTCATGCCCTTGAGCAGTAATTGGTCGAATCCCAACAGAATCTGACTCGAGGGCACAGAAATCCTCAGCTCCCCAATCAGCCAGCTGTCAGTCATTCTGCCAACAAAACTAAAGGTGGTGTATAACGAACAGGCTGAGATTGGAATTTAAAGTTAGTGAGACATAAATCTTCCCGACAAGTCTGTTGCTTGACAAGGAAGCACTCTTGGAGGCAGGGAGATTACCAAATTGGATGACAGGGATGCTGCCGACATGGTGGTTAAGGGAAAGCCCAGCGTCTAATTTGTCTTTCACACCAGAAAAGGATGTGCAATTTTCTTTTTCAAAATGAGAAAAAGTGTCTAAAAAAACCTCAAAACACCGATTTACAAACAAATATTAATATGACTCTGTGTTATGTTACTTGACGCATTAAAAAAAAACGAACAAATTTCTTCTAGGTGTTAAAAGTGAGTTTTCCTCAAGAGCAGCACCACCAGAAGAGCCTTGAGGCAAGAAAAAGTACCCTGTAAGCCATAAAAGCTCCCACTGGATCCCTCTAACCCTCGGCGTCCTCTCTGCAGAAGTTTCATTTTTAATCACGACTCTAAATCTGCTCCAGGTCCACAAGCAGCTGACCCTGCCTCCTGACCTTCCTGCTGGGGGGAGGCAGGCTGTTACACAGCAGCTCGAGGGGATCAATAGAGAATTAGATGATTCACAAGTCATATCTTTGCAGCTCGTTGATCACACAGGAAGGATGGCAGCTGGCGGTAATCCCATTCCATGGTGATTAATGCCGCAAAATGATGATCTACAACAACCCGATTCCTCTCATTCCTCTCGGGGACGTTCGCTGTTTCTTCTAAATAGAACAATTGTATTGATGGTGCACACTGTGGCTGAGTGGTGTATTTATGTCCTGAGCAAAAGCAAACTCAAAGAGAAGACGTTGGGCACCAAAGCCTCCACAAAATACTGAAAACGAACATATGTACATTTTTATTTTAACAGTACTCTGCTCCATCAGCTTGGGTACGCGATCGAGGCTTACAACCAGCAGTTTAAGTCACTTTAACGTTATTTCATTTGTACCAATACTAAATTACTACAATTTATGGTATTTTCCGCCAGACATGTCGCATCAGTCCATATTTGTCTAATAAAGTGGAGGAAGGAAATCAGGAAGGAGGAACGCTGCGCATTTCTTCAAAAATTGAACAAGATTAGCACCTAAAACAATTATTTGTTTGCTCGACTTTATAGCAAAGGTGTGTCTGTTGAACTTTTACGTAATAAATGCACTTTAATTGTAAAATTAGCTGCATTACGCCGGGGCGGTGCAGCGAAATGAAGCTGGTTTGACGGTTGCTCCCAGCAAGCAGAGCAAAGGTGGCAGTTTATGGCAAGCAGATTGTTCCATTAATAGCCACTTTTACCTATTACATGATACAACGGCATGCCATGGATGAAAATGGTAGTGTTCAATATTTTCAGTCAGAATGAAATAAAATGGTCATATCTCAGCTAAAAATTGGTTTAGAAATATGAGTAAAAAAATTCATAAATGTCGCTTTGGCCTATAAGTCACAGGGCATGTAAATTATGCAAAAAAAAGTTACTTATATGGCGAAAAATACGGTGCTCTTAAAAGCGTGAAATATGGGGAATAGCGGGAAAATATGACTTCCAAGAGATGCAAACCCACCAATTAACTCCTGACTGAAGATATGAGCTGTTGGGTTGAACTAACAAGTGATAACACAGACTGGGTGAAGGACATTCATTAAAAACAACAAAGTCCATGCTCAATAGTCCAGGTATAAAATCCAACATTTTTCAGTCAGGTCATCTGGACAGTTTCTTTTTTTGTGCTGAAACGTTTCGCCTTCGATCCGGAAGGCTTCATCAGTCAAGGAAACGCACAACAAAACTGATTCTTCCTCCAACAGCTTACTCCAAAGTGGAACAAACCAGTTCTGCTTGTGATTAGATGGTCTCTTTGGTACGCCCCTCCTCCATTGCCGGCCCTCTTCCTTGTTGACAGTCTTGTCAAACTGGTTGAAAACAACAATGGCTCAGTTTTGTGTTGTGTGTTTCCTTGACTGATGAAGCCTTCTGGATCGAAGGCGATACGTTTCAGCACAAAAAAAAAACTGTCCAGATGACCTGACTGAAAAGTGTTGGACATTCATTAAACATTTATTTGTGATGTCTGATGAGAACCATTTATTGGACTGCTAATATTTAAAGCTGCAATCCAAGGTTTGTGAAAGATGACTCCTAATCTGAATATAAAAACATTGTCTCAGACATGGTGCTAAATTATAACCACCGGAGTAACTTATGGCTCTAAGTTGTCGGCATGAATCATTTTATATCATGTTGGTGTTTAAGGGTTGATTCCTTTAACAAGAAGGGGTGTAACGGGATCTCACAAGACTAAAACAAAATGAGATTTCTGATCGAGTTAAAAACCGTCTTGGAAACCAAAAAAACTTTGTCTCATTACTTCCTGCTTAAATTATTCCCGATGATGTCCCCACCTCTTTAATTTGATTGCAGCGAACATGTCAGGCAGTAGGACCAGCGTGATCCACCTCATTCAAGCTTAAGAGAACAGCTTTCCCTGCTCCTTTGCAGCCTCTGCAGCTACGTGCTGAGAGGAAGAGTCCCCGTTGCACATTTATTTAAAACCGAACAAATCGAATACCAAGGATGTCAAACTCTTCTGTGGTTTTCACAGCTCCTTCTTTGGAAATGTTAGGGAGAACTGTTAGCAGCTGTTTATTTTTATTCTGCTTTGATGGCCTTTATTGGAATGTTTTCATTAGAAACAGCTAAAAAATAATAATTTAAAAAGACAGACTTAAAAAAACAAGTAAGTTTTATCGAAAATTCCTGTATCAGAAGATAATTAGTTTTTTTCAACAACCGTCCATCATTCAACATATCTCCCCCCCCCCCCACACACACACACTGAAAACTAAAAACACTGAAAAAGTTGGTGGTTTGTGAAAGTTGATTAATGTTCATCGGGACATAAATCTGGAAGAGGTTTGTAAAAATATCCATCAAAAAGACGGATGGGTTTACCAATAAACAGACCGACTCAGTCGACCCATGCTGATAGGATGGTTAAAATATTAAAACGGAGCGGTTTGTAATGTCCCCTAAATTGTTGTGCACAACGCTACTCGGGCATTCGCAGAGGTTTACACAGTCTCCCCTGGCATCATGCGGCAAACCCATGCTGAGCGGCGCTCACATTAAAATTCAGATTGATCAGCGCTCTCTAATAATTCATCTCTGCTCTGGTGGGAGCATTGTCGCAAAGCACGAGTGGCCATCTCGCTGTTTGATGAGCACGATAATTATTTTAGCCATATGCCACAGGGCTTTGAACAGCACCTGATCAGAGCCCAGCACCAGTCAGTGATGGACTTCGACCAAAGTCACTGTTTGCTGCAGACAAACCGTCTTTAATGGCATTCTCTTTGCTCATTTATCTCTTTTTGTTTTTTATTATTCCTTCTCAACTTGGCTTTTCTTTCAGCCCCCGTCTCACAAATTTTCTCTATCTCTCTCAGCCCCCACCCTCATCCCGTTCACTTGATTATGTGGAGCCGGAGTCGGGGAAAGTGTCACTATGGAAACAGGGGCAGAATCAGCAGAGGGTTGTCTGTGAAAGCGAGGGGGAGAAAGGGAAGAGAGAAGGGCTAAGAGGTGGACAGTGCTGAGGAATCCACGCCTGGTCGTCTCACTGATTCTATTCGGGGTTTGTATCACAAAAGGCAGGTGAGGTAAAAAAATAATAATTAAACATTCACCCAATAAGTGGAGACGGTTGTGGAGGTGCTCTTTTTTCTTATGTGGAGCACTTCACTGGGCTATAAGTAGCTTCTTTGTTTCAGCATATCTGTCCACTCTCTCCAGCAGTTACGTAATTTTCTCCACATGTGCACGCTGTGTTCTGAATTTTTAAAGGCCTTGAAAATCCTTTATCATGCCCTGTAGGCCACCGAATTACACCCCCCTTTCTGGTTAGCACATTTTAAGTAAGAAAATTAGAAGTATGTTGTCGAACTCCATCCTTTTTTACACACTGAAACTGAAAGATAAAAAGTGAACTGCCAACATTTTGATGTTTTTTTTTTTAATGCCTTCTGATTTTGGTTTAAATTTAATGTAAAGAATATTTGACTACCTTAATAGGGGGAAACTGAGCTGTGATTTTTGCATTTTATAGACTGAAACATAATCAGATAGTGAAAGATAAAGCATGAATTTTTTTATTTTATAGAATATCTACCAGAGTACAATGGAGTGCCCCCCCCCCCCACACACACACACACACGCACACACACAAACCCTTATATTAATCCCAAAAGTCATTTATTTAGCACTTAATCCCACACATTTTGTAAAAAGATCCCCCTTGTTTTTCTTTTTCTTTCCCAAGTTTGATTGTTTGGGTGGTGCAGGAGAGAGGAAAGGACGGGAGGGAGCAGGTTAGAAAAGGGGAGGAGTAGAAGAGCAGGGTGAAAAAAGTGGGGGGAGGTATGATAGTGAGACGAGCCGAGACTCTACAGCAGAATGAGCCAGAGGCAGAGAGGAGGCAGAAGAGGAGCAGCCCTCCTCCTGAATCTTCATCCCGGGGAAGACAGAAGATAGAGCTGGTCCGACCTCAGCGGTCCTGAAGTTAAAGCCATCCGAGATGAGGTATGTTCCCTTTTTAAATCCTCCTTTACTTCTCCTGTCGGGCACTGGTGTGTTAACGGCAAAGATCCTGCGAAGTATAAGTTTATTTTTAGCAGGGAGTTACTTTAAGTGTGTGTGTGTGTGACTGGGGTGCGATTGATCAAAATGTCAGCGACAATTCTGTTGAGACACTGTTCCTTTGACATTTGAAGACTGATAATGTTCCTACAATCAGAGTCCTCCTCAGCACAAAGTGACCTGATGTTGCAAAGAACGATGAGAAGAGTTCACAACCTCAATTCTGAGGCTGTTTTCATCCTGCTGCTGACAGAAAAAGTGACCAAAAACTTAAAAAAAAATTGAGCTTAATAAGTCTATTTTTTTAATTTGCACATACTTTTTGCTAATCCCTATTTCTGTTGTGAGACATTATTGGTTTATAGTAGTCATATTTTTGACCTTAATGCTAAATTAAACAGCTGTTTTACAAGCTGACATTTCAACACACTTTATCTAATAAACTCTGTCACTAACAGGCTGCTTCTTTGACACAGGTTTCCCTGAGTATCTGTCAGCCACTCTCTTTATTAGTGCCATTAAGGGTGGTTTAATGTTATCACACACACAGTCTGTATTGATCTGCTACACCATGCCCAACGAGACAATAGTCCAGACAAGCCTCTTTCATTTCAAAGTCTGCTTTATGTTCAGCAGATCTTATTTCAGAGAGGAGACTTATTGGATATTACAGAGCAGGGACTGTCTTTGTGCACATGTCAGGATGTCCTACAAACTCTTTTCTGGCTGCACTGCAAAAAGTATTTAACACTGTAGAGACAAAGTGTTCAATAATGACAGCGTGGTGGTTAGATGGGGGGGGGGAATTCAGTGCGACTCCTGACTTCTTAAAAAGCCCGAGCGCGATACGAGCCCAAGTCTCGACGCTGTGACGTCGAAGGAATTCTGCCAGAGTTATAGTGTGAGATTATTTAACGTTGGCTGCTTTGACGTTTTTATAGCAAACGTCACAGATGGGCGGATGATTATCTTGTTGAATACATTTCAAAATAAAATTTCACTTGAATCTGTCTACTGTTTGGTTTTTAGTACTAGTATCGGCAAATTGCTGTGTAAATCGTTAAGATTACGTCATCAAAGCAAATGTCCATTTTATCTTTAATTTTTTTTCCCTCACCCAGAACTTTAACGTTACGCAAAGCAATAGTTCAGATCTTTTAAAGTGAGTCGCTGTGAAGAGCTTATGAACAGTAAATACTAGGGATGCACAATATTGGATTTTTGGCCGATATGTTGATATGTTCAAACTTATTTGGCCAATACCAATTTTTTTTTCCTAGACCTACTTACAGAGACTACAAAGCTTTCTCAACTGTGGAATTAAAATACATTATTCTGCATGGTCTTTGTCAATTTGGCCTGCTACCAAATGCAGATGCCAAAAGGGGGCTGAAAATGATGTAACACTATATAAATATATAATATATATATAAAAAACAGTGCCTTTTACAGTATATCAGTGAGTTTTTATGATGGAATGTCCAATATTTAACTTTATCGCAAATATCGGCCGATACCATGCAGATATCGTGCATCCCTAATAAATAGCTTTGAACAGCCTCAGGTGGGAGAAATAGTTTTTCTGAGTTAATTGAAGAGTTTATGGCTATTCTGAGAAAGATGAGAATAAAATGGATTTCTGCCATTTTAAAACTTGTGGTTCAGGTAAACTTTTTGTTAAACTTAAATCTCTGTCAATTTCTCGTTACACAGAATTTTGTTGTGGCTTTTAAGCAAACACTTTTTTTTTTTTTCAATCGATCAGGGCAACAATGTACAACTTTTTTTTTTTTTTTTTTGGCCATTATTTATATTTAACAAAAACAACATTAATTGCCTATTTTAAAAACAATACATGAGTTTAGCAACGTGTAGAAGAACTTGTTTCTTTAAGTAAGTTAGGAGTTGCTGCTGCAACTTCAGTTTCCTGTCTGGTAACTGATTAAGGATGGACAGGCATGGCCAATATCTGAAGCCATTCATGTTCAGCTCGAGGCTCTTCCAGGAATAATATGTTAAATCTGCACGAAAAACTTTATAAATTAGCATTTTTATGAATTGTCGTGAAATTTGACAGGTGCTGTTTCAAGATGGCCGCAATCCTTCTTGGTCCTGGCCCTGCTCAGGTTAGCCATTAGTTGTTTTATTTTTCTGCTCAGATATTAACTCTTTTTCCTCCAAACTGGAGTTGCTCAAAGCACTAACAGGTAAGGTATTATTTGTTCATAAGCATCCATAGAACCCCACCTCAAGAGATCTGGAGTCTTTTTAATTTGTTGGTTTTAAATGTGGGGAAAATTATAAAAATAAATATCTCTAAGGTGCTACGCTCCAACAACTACGGTAACTACAGCATATCGCTTAAAAAATACTGTGCATTAATTTTCTGTAAGCTTTAAGGCGTGTCATAAATTGACTTTGAGAGGGACATGCCAAGTCAATCCTACAGTAGATGCATGTATTCATGTGCCTGTGGGCTGCATCTGTGTTCGCGTGGACGTGCATATGGATGGCAAAGAAAGTATATGGAGATCAATGCAAGCAGATGTTCTCTCTGCACTTCAAACGCTGCTCTGTTGTTGGCGCCGCAACGCTCCAAAAGGCCTCGCGCGAGGGGATCAAAGGCTAATGAGACAGCCATCGCACAAACGCACCCGGCAGACCCATGAATATTGATACGGCTCAGGAGAGAGATGGAGGCAAGAGAGGGTGTCTTCATTCACTCAACAGCAGATTAAAGACGAGCAGGGGGAGGGGCGCTCTGTGTCGGGAGGACTTTGGGGGTATAAAAGCAGCAGAATATGTGGTCAAGAGCTGAAAAGGCTCATGACAGGTCTCATTTAGATGAGTTAAAGGAGTTAAAAATGTCAGATTGGCTCTATACCAGCTGTCAGTACTATCTGTTTGACTTGAATACAAATGACTGCAAAATGATGCATCGTGTCCACATTCCTCCAGCTCACACGTCTGAAACTAAAAGCAATTTTTACTCATTTGTAGATAAACAAGATATGTGATTTTCCACATGAGAAAGTGTCTGAAGGAAGGAACAGAATGTGGGATTGAAACATCTTTCTATCTTTGCCTCACAATAAAAAGCTGCTCACCAAAACAGTGGGTGTCCAAGGTGTTGTGATTTTTTTTTTTTTTTCCAGCTGGCAGAAACGAGATGACAGCCTATCTTTTCCTGCAACACATACAGCGGCGTTGTGTCGTGTATGATTGCCTTAAGGTGACATGTTCCCCACAAAACACAGCGTTATCTCTTCCTGCAGGGTTGTTGTTTTGTCTAGCAGCGCGGTTAACCCTCTGAGTGTCCTCACTTTGTTTCCCTTTCTGAAATGCAGCGACATGAGATGGTAAATTTAGCTCCATCTCTTGCAATATCTGTCCAAACGTGGAGAAGCATCCTCTCCCTCGGTCTTGGTTTGTAAAAAATGAATAATAACTAATATAAACTAAAGGTGACAGGGTTACATCGTCCACTAATGTGTGTGTATATATAAAAATAATTCCATTCAATCAACCTTTATTTAAACAGATATGTCACAATAAGCCTCGAAGACTCATTTACAAGTGAGACCTGTTTGGACAGACAATTAAAAAAGTGGTGAAAAATAACACGTAGGGTTTGGAGACAAAAAAAAAATTCCTACCAGGTTTTTAACCTCTGGTTGAAGGTCAACAGCGTGATAATGAAAGAAATCTCACGCGCCGACGTTATGCGAGGGGCGGGGGGACGCAAGGGCGGTGAGCATGTCCAGAGACAACACACAGAGGCACTGCAGAGTTCAGATAAAATCACTCGGTTCAAATAGTTCTCTCTGGAGAGATCCGTACACATTCGGGGGGTGCCGAGGACAACCAAAGACGAATCCAAAGAGTCCTGAAATGATGACAGAGTGTTTATTCATCTGGGCCCCTCTGAAAAGTCCATGGAAATTCCTCGGTAGGAGGGAAGGGAGGGGAAGAGCCATCAATTTTACAAAACTTCCAGGCAGGTTGATATAAGATGGCCTGTCAAGGCCAGTCAGGGAGCCGAATTCAGATAAACATGATTGTTTTGGGGACGGGCAAAACTTTAGTGACATCTACCTTGAGTCTGTGTCGGTCCACTCGATTCCGAAACGTCCAAATTACATGGCCACACCACTGGACCATGCCTGAGCTTAATTCTTGAGATCTGATCCATCCTGCCAAAAGCATTTGAGTCTGGGTGCTTGAGGCATGAACCAAGCCATCATAAGCAAGCAGCATGATCAGGTCCGAATTTGCTGCCGACGACTTTCTTGATTGTAGATAAACCAGCAACCAACCAGCCAAATCCAAAAAGCAAGAACCAGTTATCATAAATCCAGTTATAAATGTGTTCTTGAAATCCACAAATGGCAGCAGAGATAGACACATCAAGTCTTAAGAGTCGATGAGATATCCAGCTGCGTGCGTGCCAACAGTGCAAGTCAGCTCACCTAAAGCCCGTCTTCCCTTCGAAGAAATGTTATCAATTGTGTTGAGGGACCAACTGACCAAATCCAAGTCCATAGTTATGATTCGGAAGATTTGTAGAAGGGAGGCTCTAAGCAGTTTCACAGGACAGAACAAAGCAAAGTGGAGAGGGAGAGGAGGAGAAGACGTCCGCCCTTGACGAATATATATAAAAGTTAGGGATGTACGATATTTTCGGCATGGTATCGGTATCGGCCGATATTGGCGTTAAATTTCAATATCGGACATCAGCCATTCCATTAAAATAACTCGCCGATATAAAAGGTGCTGTTTTTGCCTGGAGTGGCAGCACAACAAGATAACGTCACATGCGCCTACCCGATCTCACAGAGGAGAGGAAAATTCAAAATGTTGGCGGTGTGGAAGTTTTATTTTTCGTTTGTGAGGATGTCGGATTCCGAAGATTTATGGAGTACGTGGAGCCTCGCTACATGGTC